TTATCTTATCTTATCTTATATTAAACATGGAGGAGAAAAAAAAGAAAGAATTTAAGTGTGAACAGTTTCTCTGAGTTTGAGTGTGTGTGTTAAACTAACTGAATGGGATGTAGTCCTGCACTTCTATAGTCAGCTCATTCGACCCAGCCAGAGCCATGCGGTCGCTCCACAGAGACTTGGCTGCACTGACGGAGGATGAATCACACTCGGGCTCAGCGTCAGGGACTTCGTTCTGAAAACAGAAAGACAATTAGAATGAGATATAAGAAGTCATCCATGACACTGTTAATAGAAAGAGTTGTGATATTACTGCTCTGGTTTAGAGGCTCTTCATTCAGATATTTTGATACCAGATGTCTTGGTGTTTGATTTGGTGAACGTGTTGTGTTAAGCCGGGTGGAACCCTTCTACTCACCGTCAGGACTTTGATGAGATTCTTCTCAATTCTTAACTTCTGTTCCTCCTTCAATGTTGAAGCTAGAAGACAAGATGATTAAACCATTTTCTGGCAGATCTATCACCAATAACTTCTCAACATTTGGCCAACAATCAACAACACTTGAATTGCTTGTTGTGTTTTGTTCTCATGTGTTTTAGTTTTTGGTTCAACTAATAAAAGTCTCCTGATGACATGGCTGAGATAGAGTCTGATTAAACAAATAAGAAAGAAAAGGTCAGGTTTAAAGGCCTCATGGGACAATATAATTCTAATGAAACCTTAGCGATAATAATATAATAATTTAAAATCAATCTACACTTTTGAGGAATCTTATCAAAAAGTTTGTATAATCAATAAAAACCTGCACTTCCTCTGTGATACCAGAGGTGGGCGATACTGACTTGCTAATAACAGCTCAGTATAAGCCTCCTGCTTACCTCTGCCCAGCAGCTCCATGCAGTATATGATGTAGTCTTTCACACTGGCCATCAGATAAGCACAGCGTAGAGCTGTGGTCAATATGGCTGTCAGGAGGCCCCACCATCGCTCTGTGCGATAGTCGCACATCACGTAGTCCAACAGCCTGATAACATAACACACACACACACACACACACACACAAATGCTCAGATCACTTGCTAACAAACAGAGATTATGGAAACTCCACTGGCTGACGTAAATGGTGCTGTCTCGAAAACAGACTCAATCTATAGAGTCATAGGAGCGGAGTAAAAAAGAATAAATCTGTAAGAGGATTTAAAAATACATGTGAAAATATAAAGACAAATAAATAAAAGAATAAATACATAAATCAATTCTGTTACATAAAGACAAATAAATAAAAGTGGAAAGCTTTCCATGTGTAGTATTACTTTAAAGGTGACTCCCAACACTTTTCTGAGCAACTATATGAAATTCAGAGGGTAACATTATCCAGCATGTGTTTTTCACTCACTTTAGGGCTTTGGTGTAGTCTTTAGCATGGTAGTATTCCTCTCCCATCTGCACCACTACGAAGGAAACAGAGAATGAGATAAATACTGACGATGTTAAACCCAATAGGGAGCAAATAAAGTCTCAAGTGTAACAGAAAATGGCCCTTGCTGAAAAATTAAATGTTTAAAAGAAAGGATGCTTTGACGAGCTCTTGTCAGTATGTGAACACGTAACTACATGTCAATAATTTCCATATTACATGGTAGGCCAAAGCATCCAACATTTAAAATATCACCTGTAAGGTGTTAACTTCTATATGTGAGCAAGGAAACACACAATTATTGAAAATATGAATGCACTGATAGTCAAACTGACTGTAGAATACAAACAGCAGATACCAGTAGCATCAAATGTAATGCCTTCAGTGAAGCATTCCTCATTTTGCTGTAGGATGCTTTGGAACGCCCTGCGGGCCACTGGAAGCTTTTAGGGATTGGTGGAGAGCACAATGATACTCACTGAGGTGACTTTTCATTCGAGGGCACTTGTACTTCTTAAACTGGGCAACAGCGTTACTGAGAAGTGCTATTATCAGCTCCTGTAGAGGCAGAGAGAGGCATGTTTTAATACAGCAGTACAATATAACCTGACAGTAGTTCGAGAGGGTGCACACTGTGGGGCATGTTAGAATATGAAGGTGTTTCTTTCTGAAGCGTGTCAAGCATTTTGGGCTCTATGTGCTTCAAAGAACTTGTTTCTCAAAATTGAAAACATTGCTACTGTGCTATGCTTTGTATAAAGGCATTCCACACAACTGACTCAGTATGTCAACAGTCTGCACACACGCAACCAATTTTTATTTACTTGGATTTAAGAATAGTACTTATTGGTATTTCAATTTGAGATATTCAAATGGTAGTATCAAAAAAGACACACATTTAAGGATTGTTATTCTACAAACAAAAACCATGCTTTAATTACATAGGAATTATAAGTTTAATAATTGCTGCATTAAAGGAACCAGTGTGTAGGATTTAGAGGCATTTAGCAGTGAAATTGCAGATTGAAACCAACTGAGCTCGTCTTCCCGGCGTGTAGGAGAAACTACAGTGGCCATGAAAAATATCTATCTAGAGACAGTGTTTGGTTTGTCCATTCTGAGCTACTGTAGAAACCTGGTGGTTCAACATGGCAGACTCCGTAGAGGAGGACCCGTTCCTTCTGTAAATAAAAAAACGGCTCATTCTAAGGTAACATAAACACAACTATTCTTATTTTCAGGTTATTAT